GTTCTCTCATTCTCGTGTGTCTGCCAGTGATGCTCTCTCTCATTCCCGTGTGTCTGCCAGTGATGCTCTCTCTCATTCCCGTGTGTCTGCCAGTGATGCTCTTTCTCATTCCTGCGTGTCTGCCAGTGATGCTCTCTCTCTCATTCCTGTGTAATTAATGTGCCTAATAAACTCCCCTTAAAAAATAATAAAAAATTAATTGCCCTGATGTGTCTTGCAAATTGTAAATTGTTGTGTCTTGAGTAAAACAGTTAGCTGCTAATTAAAGTGTAATTGGTCAGTTTGTAGCTGATAGCATTAGCCTTCGGTGTTTTACAGTAAATCACTGGATCACAGAGGGACGTGGTCTTTCACATCTCGCCGGCCCGCTTCCCACGTTTCCCTCTGCAGGTGTACGGAACCTCCTGGACGACATCGGCACTGACATCACCAGCTTCTCGAAGAAGCTCCCCCTTCAGGCCAATCTGAGGGACGTCAGCAATCTTGTCAATCAAGTCCACTCCCAGATCGAGGACGTCTACCCGCAGATCGACCGAGCGGACTTCTATAGGTCAGCCTGGTGCTAATCTCGCTCTACACTGTGATCTCGGCCGTTCTGCTTCCTGTTAAATACTTTAAGTCATTCTGGGCTCTTTTTCCTGCTTCAGATCCACCTTATCAGACAGCCCTTTATCCTCGACACACGCGAAAGTGGAGCACATTCAAACACTATAGCCCTTCCCATTGAATTTCTTTAGCAGTCACTTTTATCCAAAGTCAGGAACAACTGAGAAACCACTGACAGACAGCGATTGGGGGTTCAGGGCTCTTGCTCACACGTCCTAACCCACGTCGCCACTAGTGTTGATAGTCACCATAATAATATTTAATATGTAATTCCACTACTTTGGCCAGTAACGAGTAATGTAACTATATAATTACCTTTTCAAATGAAATAATGCAATTAGAAGTACTGAAATATAAATGGGCTCTTTACTCGTGAAAATATTAAAGGACAGATGCAGCCTGTTCCCCTAATTTTCTGTTCATGATCTAACGATCTCTGAGCTTACGGTGGTGCATGAATGGGTGATATTAGGCACAGTGAGAGACTAAATTTGACAGTTGTATTGTCCCGCGCTGTCACAGCACCAACACTAAAATAATATAACTACCGAGAACGCAGACATACATAAGCACGATGTCTGCGATGTTTTAAAATCCAGGGCAAAGCATCTCTATGGGGTCCTTTGCTCGCTGGCTGGCAGACCTTGTGAAAAAACACTATTCACAAGGGGAGACATCCCTACGGAGCACTGAATCGACATCCCCAATGTATACACGACGTACACTCACCTAAAGGATTATTAGGAACACCTGTTCAATTTCTCATTAATGCAATTATCTAATCAACCAATCACATGGCAGTTGCTTCAATGCATTTAGGGGTGTGGTCCTGGTCAAGACAATCTCCTGAACTCCAAACTGAATGTCAGAATGGGAAAGAAAGGTGATTTAAGCAATTTTGAGCGTGGCATGGTTGTTGGTGCCAGACGGGCCGGTCTGAGTATTTCACAATCTGCTCAGTTACTGGGATTTTCACGCACAACCATTTCTAGGGTTTACAAAGAATGGTGTGCAAAGAGAAAAACATCCAGTATGCGGCAGTCCTGTGGGCGAAAATGCCTTGTTGATGCTAGAGGTCAGAGGAGAATGGGCCAACTGATTCAAGCTGATAGAAGAGCAACTTTGACTGAAATAACCAATCATTACAACCGAGGTATGCAGCAAAGCATTTGTGAAGCCACAACACACACAACCTTGAGGCGGATGGGCTACAACAGCAGAAGACCCCACCGGGTACCACTCATCTCCACTACAAATAGGAAAAAGAGGCTACAATTTGCACGAGCTCACCAAAATTGGACAGTTGAAGACTGGAAAAATGTTGCCTGGTCTGATAAGTCTCGATTTCTGTTGAGACATTCAAATGGTAGAGTCAGAATTTGGCATAAACAGAATGAGAACATGGATCCATTATGTCTTGTTACCACTGTGCAGGCTGGTGGTGGTGGTGTAATGGTGTGGGGGATGTTTTCTTGGCACACTTTAGGCCCATTAGTGCCAATTGGGCATCGTTTAAATGCCACGGCCTACCTGAGCATTGTTTCTGACCATGTCCATCCCTTTATGACCACCATGTACCCATCCTCTGATGACTACTTCCAGCAGGATAATGCACCATGTCACAAAGCTCAAGTCATTTCAAATTGGTTTCTTGAACATGATAATAAGTTCACTGTACTACAATGGCTCCCACAGTCACCAGATCTCAACCCAATAGAGCATCTTTGGGATGTGGTGGAACGGGAGCTTCGTGCCCTGGATGTGCATCCCACAAATCTCCATCAACTGCAAGATGCTATCCTATCGATATGGGCCAACATTTCTAAAGAATGCTTTCAGCACCTTGTTGAATCAATGCCACGTAGAATTAAGGCAGTTCTGAAGGCGAAAGGGGGTCAAACACCGTATTAGTATGGTGTTCCTAATAATCCTTTAGGTGAGTGTATTTCAATATCAACACGATGTTATCGATATGCGACCTTTAGCCTACCGTTATTTTTCCCCATTCGGCTACATAACCCACAATATGGTTACACCATATACATATACAGGCTAAAGGGTAGTTTTATTCTGTTTAACCCGCATGGAGACTCACTGTTTCTAAAAAGAAACATGATTTAACGACGTTCCGATCTTATACCCACACACGTATGTGTGCTGTCTGGGTATGTATCCATTAATAAGAGAATCGAAGTAATACAGGTTACTTGCCTTACTTTTACATGCAGTAATTGGTAAAGTAATTGAATCACTTTGAATGAAGTAATTAGTAACTGTAACCAATTACTAATTTTCAGTAACTTGCAGTTAAAACACACCATGCCCGCTTTCTGTACATGCCTACTTTACAGCCACATATATTTTAAGTTGTCTGTTATGAAAGCCGCTGTATTGTGCGGTTAATAAGCGTAACGTGTGGCCCCCTACAGGTGGACGTGCTGCGTTACACTCTGCTGCCTGGTGCTTCTCATCCTGACCTTCACCTTCCTGGGTTTGCTGTGTGGGGGCTGTGGCTACGACAGGCACGCCTCGCCCACCACCCGCGGCTGCGTGTCCAACACCGGCGGGAACCTGCTTATGGCGTGAGCAACGCCTCCCTGCGACCCGCGCGCACACACACACACACACACGCAGAAACCCAGGGTGCCCTTCTGGTTGGCCACACATAGGACACACACACACACACACACGCAGAAACCCAGGGAGCCCTCCTGGTTGGCCACGCACAGCTGTGTCCTCGGATGTTTCACAGTTTGTTTTTCGAGGATTCATGGCTGTTATTTGCCACACGCAAGGTTTACAGTCAGGCAGTGAAAGGAACGGCGGTCAGCTCCGCCATAATGAAAATAGTGAAGTAACAGTATAATGAATACACAAGTAACAAAAAGTTATGCTGAAAGGAATGAATGGAAGAAAAACCAGAGGCACAAAAAGACGATGTGCAACATAGTTCAAATAAACTAGTGTGATTTACTTTGCTTTCATGGCGTTGCTGAGATACGATCGCTTTGTGGGTGCGTGTAATGTTAACGCTGACTAGTAAGTAGAAGATCATAGCTATCTAGCTGGTTAGCATAACATGCTGCTTCAGCATCTCCTGAATAAGGAATGCTTTTATTTAATATTTAGTGCAGTGGCTGTTTGTAGCCAACAGGGGGCACCACAAAATGCATTGTTTGAGTGATGCTAAACACCGTTCTCCTTAAGGGTCCACCAGACGTTAGTCGATAATAATGGATAGTCAATGCTAATGCTATTTAATTGGTTTAATGGTGGCATTCCATTTTTTGGGTGCTTGGTCATTTGAGACAGTGACCTGGGTAATTTCTAATGTTGTGCCCCCATCAGTTATAAGGGACCTGTATGATGAAGCTGGATTTTTGAGTTAGCAAGATAACTTGCTGGATTTAATTTAGTCTGGGCTAAATTTAAGTGAATGATAAAGTTCATTTAAACTGGGGGACCTTAAATCCGATATGTTATCTAGCTAAACAAAAAGTCTGTATTGGCGACACGGGGGCAGGCCGGTTCCCTGTGAGAATGGACACAGGGTCTCCAAGTGTTTCCTGTGTTCCTCCTGATGGCAGGGGGGCTGGCTTCACTTTCATCTTCTCCTGGGTGCTGATGGCATTCGTGACGCTCACCTTCGTCGTCGGAGGCAACGTGGAGAAGCTGTTTTGCGAGCCGTTGGAGTCCCAGCAGCTGTTTAAGGTGAGGCGGGGGTCTGTTGCGATCTCTGACATTCGACAAACTATGATGTTGGCTTCACGTGTTGGAATTTACTAACCCCTAATGACAGGCGATCGAGAAAACTGTGGTTACGAAGTTATTTAGCAGCTGGAAATTTAGATTCAGTTCAGATATTTTTATGTTTTATAACATTAAGTGTTAAGACTGCTGACGGTGTTAAACAGATGTTAGATAATAGCTGATCTTATCTGACTGGATGAAAGCAGGAATAGCCTCCTACCCCAGATCGGTCGGTGATGATGATGAGTTATGTTTAGCACTTGATTTTCAGGAGGAATTCAGAGGGAAGACAGATATGATACAATATGACAGACTTGACAGAATTGCGTATGATAAATTTCTTATATGTGATAATTAATGAAGGACAGGAATGAAACAATAACCTTAAGTGACACCAGGGGGCAGAAGCGTACCCTGTTAGTGCCTTAGCCTCCATGCTGGCGTTGCTGACGGGCATTTTTCTCTGGAAGGTTATAGACACCCCATATCTATTGAACCACAATGCAAGGAACTTCATCCCTGCCCTGCTGATTCACAACCCAGAGATCAACCTGACTGCAGGGAGCCTATACAGGTAAATAATCATGGAGGGTGACGGGTTAAGTTGGCGGGTGAAGGACTGTCTTTTGTCAGGGATCAAGCAGCTTTGTAAAACAGCAACATTTCACTTGGAATTAACACAATAGTGTATAAAACCATACTATGTTTTTATAAATTGTTATAAATGACCACAGGCATTTATCTATCTATCTATAAAACAGGGGCGGGGGGGTTGGACTGAGGAGGTGAAGATATGTGTAAGGGTCAGTCTTCAGTATTCACCACTCAGTACTCAGTTTTTGCTCTAGCTGCTATTCCAGCAGTTCATGTAGATGTAGTTCCGCTGTGAGTCACCAGGGGGCAGTCAGTGACCCCAACAGCAGCAATCACGTCTCTTCATTCACTTCTCCTGCCTTTACAGATGTGCATGTTAATGCTTTTCAGTATCTTTATTCTTACTAGTAAATGATTTTAACCGGACGCTACCGTGTCGTTACCTCAGCAAATGCAAGGAAAACAGGGGAATCTATTCAGCGCTGCAGTTGGACAATGTCTTCAACCTCACGGCCTACCTCGACATCAGCGCGGTGAGTGCTGGGTCCTGGGCTCCCGTGATTCGCTACTGGGTCCTGGGCTCCCGTGATTCGCTACTGGGTCCTGGGCTCTCGTGATTCGCTACTGGGTCCTGGGCTCCCGTGATTCGCTACTGGGTCCTGGGCTCCCGTGATTCGCTATGCGGGGTCACGTTAACGGCGCTTGGTCGACAGAGACGGAGCTCGCGGAGAGAGAGGCCACCTTCATGGGACGGTATTTGTGGGTTTTTGTGGAGAATCGCCCCAGTTGAAATGTTGATGGGCGTGGCATGAAATGTGCACTCGCACACACAGGTCTGTCGCGTGGATGCTGGAATAGTATCTCCAGCCCTCAAAGTGTGGCTGGAACCAGAGGTAGGCCTGTCACGATAACAAATTTTGCTGGACGATAAATTGTCCAAGAAATTATCGCGATAAACGATAATATTGTCCATCTGAGACCATTTTCATCTAGAATAATGATAATGGCATAATAATGCACATACGCCTTTCAAAATTCAGAAACGTTTATTTTTAGACTATTTAACAC